TGATCCTAAATGCGATAGCTTGGAAAGTGCCTGAAACCCGTACCAAGACTTGTAAGTGAAATTGGGTTGGAGAGAACTCACTGGCAGCTGTCAAAAGTTGTGCTAGCACAAAGTCACAATTCATTGTGACCGAGGATTTGAAAGTGCTGTCCTTGCTCAGACTGCTATTCATACTAGATAATGCACTCTATTCAAGAAACTATGACTAAGGTCTGCTCAGCAAAATAAACCACAGGTGGGATCTCTGGGTGTTTCAGAGTTAACGCCTTGCAGCTGAGCAGTGTCTACTCAGTGGAAATTGGAAAGTCAAGCAATAACTGAGCAGTATTATAAATAAGAATGAGCCAAGATATCTCTAGACCTGGTCAATAGAACAAGAACAGTCTATGCCTGTAAATTAAATAAAGGGTTCAGTTTGAAATCCCCTATACATTACCCAGATCAACAAAAAAATTAAGGCATAATGGCCAAAACACTGTGATAGCAACAACAAAGATGAGGACAATCGTCTACTTGTAAATAATGTAAATAATTATAATTTTTCATATCAGAAATTCACATGGAGATAGATGATGCACTGAATTCTGAACAGACAATGTTTGTTCTGAATTTATATAACACACAATAACAAAACTTGAAATTTAGCAAGTAAATGGGAAATCAAGGGAGGTAAGTAAGCATCAAATTCAAGTGGTTGTTTCTGAGAATGGTAAGAACTGGATCTGGCACTTAAGCCAAAAAGAAGTTAAAATAGACAAAATCTTCAAGTGATTTTGGAGATGCAAAAAGAGACGAAGAACACTTAACCTAGATGCAATCCTAAGATATCTTGATAAAGTTGTATGTGTCTAATATGAAATACTTGAGAGATTTGCATTGACAAACAAATTTTTTGTCTTTATGATATTTTAATATATATATATATATATATATATATATATATATATATATATATATATATATTCTGGTCAAAAAAACCTGACTACCATAAATATTTGAAGTTTATTGTTTCTGATTTAATAATATATATATATATATATATATATATATATATATATATACATAATTGAATCAGAAACAATAAAGTGACTTGATGATTTCATTCAAGCATGAAATGGACATTGAAGTCAACACCCAAAGGCAGCAGTCTGTATCGTGCTTGAATGCAATGATCAGGCCACATTATTGCTTCTGATTTAAAAATTTCGCTTGAAGATGGAACGGAGCTTAGTACTTTAATTCAATTTAATTCAAATAATTATATTGAAGTTTTCGGCTCTTGTTTTGAAACATGAGAACTCTTATGTAGCATGTTGAAATCATATTTTTAAATAAATAATTATATTTATGCTCTACTTTTGTATCGAGCACTATTTTTAAAAAGTAATAACAAAAATAGAAAAAAAAGAACTATGGATTATTTACCTAACGAGTTCTTTCCTATTTTCTATATATTTTTCACACACACACACACATTATATATATATATATATATATATATATATATATATATATATATATAAACAAACATGTTTCATTAAAGATGACAGTCAAGGTACTGCAATTAAGCTTTTTATTTAACTTTTCTTGTGTTTGAACAAGTGTTTTCTTTTCTGGATACAGAGTACGTAGAAACCGTTTAAATGTTCTATAATTCCAAATACTTTCACTTATAGTTTTAGCCATTATACAAGATGATTTTATTTTTGCTTTTTAAATGGGCGTATGGCTTGTGTGTATTTTTATAGAGTTATACGGATGTTTTATTTTCCAAACATCGTCAGCATAATAGCTACTTTACTGAGTAGGTAGGTTTTTACCTTTTTATGTTTCTTTCTCTTTCCTTCTTGTCTAAAATGTTACATCTTGTTATAGAAAGTTACCTGTTGGTCACATCAACAGAGTTGTTTTTTCTTTAGTTCACACACACACACACACACATATATATATATATATATATATATATATATATATATATATATATATTACTGGCAAAGCTGCAAGTTGTGCTGAACTACAGCAAATCCTCAATCCCTCCTCTATTCAATCAATTGAAGTCCTAATATCCTCAGCTGAATGCTTTGTTCAAAAATCCTCATCCAACTCAACACTTGATTTTTCCCTAGAACTGGGGCTATACTGAGTGAAATCTGCACAACCCAGTTGATGGTATTAAACATTATCTCTAAATTAGACCATCATAGAGCAAGTCATGGTGATGGGATACCAGCCGTAGTCCTAAAGAAATGTGCCCCATGAGCTGTCTCCAGTTCTCACCAAACTATACAACTACTCACCAATTCTTGCTTTCCAGCCTGTTGGAAGTCCTCCATTGTCGTCTCAGTCTTTAAGAACTCTGGAGACTCTTCTGACCTTTTTAACTACTGTCTCATCAGTCCCCTACCATTCTTCCGGCAAAGTCTTTGAGGCTTTAATCAATGCCAAAGTGGTTAAGCACCTCACCATCATGATTTGCTCTCTGACGGTTTCCGCTTTGCCTGGTCTACTACTGATGTGCTTACAGTCATAACTGAATATGTATACCAATCTCTTGATAATAATGGTGAAGATTCAAGAGTTTCCATAAGTTTTTGCCAGTGGAAATTATTGCCACCTTCACAAATTCCCTTTAAGGAACTGTGTTCCAAATCAAACTGAATTCATAAGTAATTACATTGGTCACACTACTACATACCTATCCAGACACCTTATTCTATACTTATTTGGCCACAGCTCCATTAGAACCCATTTAAACACACACAAATTTACCAAACCCCATCCAAAACATGAAGGTTTTAAAAATGAATTGCAATTAGGTGTTTGAACAGAACTAGTATTCTAAGCATACCATCAATGAAGTCAATGGTCCAAAAATGTAATCTCTTGACTTGAACGTGATTGGAAATTTGTGTCCATCTTCACCAGCCTTGTGATTTGAATGAACGGAAAAAGATTTGCTGTGAAGAGTGATCCAAAATACAAACAGAAAAGTATTCAAAGACAACAACTATTTACAGGAAGCAAATGGAAGCTGTGAACAAACGCAAAATTTTGGGTTCTCTTTGATTCTGTTTTGTGCAGTATAATTATAATAATAATAAAAATAATAACAACACATTGATGTAGTGTAGGTTGACTGCAGTCAAGATGATATCATCATTGTGAACTCCATGATGTTGTTGATGGCTACACAGTATGACCTACACCAAGGCTAAAATATGGTTTTTATTCAGGCTTATTCATCTTTTAGACCAGTTGCCAACCATGGCTAGAGAACCCAATCTGCCTTACTATTTAATCCATCGCTGGGGAGGGATAGATTCCTACCTTTCCCAAGGATATTTGTGCAAAAATGAGTGTAACAAATCTGATGGAATTTAAACTTGGTTTGCCAATTTCTTGTTCTAAGCATCTAACCATTGCACCATCATCATGCTAACTATGACATTCTTGTTGATGCCATTTTGTGTAAAACATTGAATTTTTTTTTTTGATCCACCTATTTTTTAAGTATTTAGCAAGAACCTTGTTATATTGATGAAGGTTTTAAAAATGAATTGCAATTAGGTGTTTGAACAGAACTAGTATTCTAAGCATACCATCTATGAAGTCAATGGTCCAAAATGTAATCTCTTGACTTGAACGTGATTGGAAATTTGTGTCCATCTTCACCAGCCTTGTGATTTGAATGAACGGAAAAAGATTTTAATGTGAACTTTAACAAGCAGAAAAGTATTCAAAGACAACAACTATTTACAGGAAGCAAATGGAAGCCATTGCCGTGAATTGTAACTTATTCTGTAAAATCTTACGTTCTTTTTTAATTCTGCTTTGTATCAGGCACTGAACACTTTTAAATATATCTTAAAATTTATACTCCTATTTACTATTGTAATGATGAAACATGTATGTTGTATAATTTTACATACTCATAAATCAGGCAATAAACTGTTTTTTTATATAGTATATATATATATATATATATATATATATATATATATATATATATATATATATATATTATAACTGACAACTTACACATAAGCCTATAAAAGAGATATATATAATTAAAATGCAAATGCATATTTTGTTTAGCATACTGAATACATTTTTGCTCTGTCTTTTTTAAATGTATCTTGTAGATTTGAAACTTTTGCTCCATCTTAGCATTGCAAATTTGAAATTTATATGTAGCCTAATTTTAAGGTAAGCACTTACCATAGGTAATGTGAGAAATTGATTTTTCTAGTGTCTATGGATGCATATATATTTTTTCCCACATGACATATATTTTTTGTCCATTGGCTCTACTTACTTAAGAAATTATTTAAACAGACTTTTACATATTTAATAAGATGAACAAGTAACACATATTTTTAATTTTTATGTAATTTCTCATGTTTTTATACAAGGGAAAAGACAAACATACATGTTCATATATATATATATATATATTTTTTAAGACAATTTTTATATTTATACATTCTTTTTATAGATACAAATATTTAAGTAAATGCTCTGTTTATAAGAAACAGTATTAACAACATTTACTGGCCTGAAAAAAATAAATTTTTTTGTTTTCTTTTCCTTCGTCCTCCAAAAAATTTCTCGGACATTCAGGCTGGTAAATTTGTTTCATACTATTTATTATAAACAGAGGATTTACAAATATTTATCTATTAAAAGAATTGTAAACATAAAAATGTCATAAAATAATTGTCAGACTTTTTGTCCATTTAATAATGTGACGTCATATATATATATATATATATATATATATATATATATATATATAAATATATATAAAAATATATATAAACTGTGTGCTTTAGGTAACCGAGAACAAATTATGCTATAAAGGTATGCAACAGAAACAATAAAAAAGCCTTTTCATTTTTTCATTTCTTGTCATATCATGTTAATGCACCTGATACATCTGAAAGTGAGAATACCATGTAATATCAAGTTGTCTTCTATTTGTGGTTTACTGAAAGTTTATTATGACTTATTTGTTTATGAATCTATCTATCTATCTATCTATCTTTCTCAGTCTGTTCATTTTCTATCTTTCATTCACTCACTCCATATTGCAGGTAATCAATCCATTGGTATATAATCCAGGTGGATCCTAGTAATACTAATTATTAAAACTGATCCACAGAGAGCTTGATGTTTTTATTTTAACAGAGCATGTGTATTCTCTGGCATTTCTGCAGGAGATTTTAAATAGAGAATCAATACACATAGATATTCATTCACCAATCCAAAATTAAAACACTAAACAGCCCTTTCAAAAATATTTTGGGAGTTGAAGGAAAAGGGTCTGAATCCTCAAATAAATTAGAAAATGTTTCGCGAACACCCCCAATAGTTTTAGGGATAGGTGCAAGCTATGTTTAGAAGAAAAAAAATCAGGATAATAAAATATAAACATCAATGCAAACTATTAAATCAATGGAAAGAACTAATCACAAAATGTAAACATAGAAATAGATTCAAAGTTACATAAGAATACATGTGCATATTTGTGGGGGTGTATGTGTACATACAGTGGCATATATATATATGAACATGTAACTGCACGTAAATGTATGTATGATTATTTTTATTTTTTTTTACCTTGAAGGAAACCCTTTTGGCCAATACTTTCTTGAAAGTTGATCATTGGCAAGCAGCAGGAAATGATCAAAGTCACATAGCAAATCAGGAGGGAAAATTTGGAACATGATTAAAATAGATTTTAATTATAAATAAATTAATGACTAAAAACAAAATACGGAAGAGTGAAGAGAATAAAATGGAAAATGTTACTTATAATCCCTCAAAGGAACAAATAAAATGTTTCTTTTTATTTACAAAGGCTTGGCTTTCTGATAAAGGTTCTGTGATTAAAGCCAGACTACTTGAATTGCCTAATGATTATGATTCAATAAAGTGCTGAGCAGGATTTTATTGAATGGTAAAGTTTTCATTTTCAAACCATAAAATCTTTGAATTCAAGAAATGATGTGTACATGCTGTCATTGTCTTCTAATGCAAAAAATAAGTAGAAATAGTGATGTCCATTCTATTTTAGTATATATATATATATATATATATATATATATATATATATGGTGTTGGGTTGAAGGTGTCTAGGAACAGATTTAGAAGTTTTGTAATTACTTTAGTTAGTTTTTTTGGGGCGTGGAACTATTGATGTTAGATATAATGGGGTCTGATATTTATACACACAAAGACACAGAAGAAAAAAATAAACTTAAATAGAATGGACGTCATTATTTCTTATTTTTTTTTACTTTGAGGGTGCCCTTTTGGCCAACACTTTCTCAAAAGGTGATCATTGGCAAGCAGTAGGAAACAATCAAAGGCACATTAGTAAATAGTGAATGAGGAGGGAAAATTAATAAATATATATTTCTTTACTCACTGGTCGCATGAGTTAGAGTTTCATGTGTAATCTGAAGATTGCATTGTGCATGAAACTTCAAGTCATGCTACCATTGAGGAAATAAAATGTATATTTATTCATAGCGCATATATATACAGGGGTTGGACAAAATAATTGGAACACTTGTTAAATTCAAAGAAAATTTATTTAATATGGAGTTGGTCCACCTTTAGCCTCACAGACAGCTTTAATACATCTAGGAATGGAATCATACAGCTTCCTGACTTCATCCAGAGGAATTTTCAGTCATTCTTCCATTAAAATCTTATCCAGCTCTTTACGACACGACGGTGGAGGATAGCGGCTCCTAACTTGTTTCTCCAAAATGCACCACAAATGTTCAATTTGATATCTTGAGATCAGGTAGGCCACTCCATATGTTCTAGCTCACTTTCATGCTCTTCATACCAATTCTTAACCACTTGAGTGGTATGTATTGGAGCATTATCGTCTTGGAAGATACAGTCACTATCAGGGAATAAAGTCTTGGCCATTGGATGAACATGATCTCCCAAAATGTTCAGGTAATCTTTGCTGTTGATTCTACTATGCAGGGCAACTATTGGACTGAGACATTTCCATGATATGGCGGTCTGTCCAAACTATCAGTGATCTACCTCTATGCTTCACTGTTGGAAGAAGGCAGCCAGGGTTGTAAGCTTCTTTGGGCTGCCTCCACACATAAACTTGCTCTGAAGTTGGGAAAAGAGAAAAACTGGACCTGTTTGAGAATATGACTTGCTTCCATTGGTCTGCAGACCAGGCAGTGTGATCTCTGAACCACTTCAACCTCTTTTGAATGTTGCGAGTGGAGAGAAAAGGTTTCCTCACAGTGGCTCTTCCATGATATGCAGCCTTATGGAGCTCACGGTGAACAGTTTTAGTAGAAACTGAACTATTCAGATGGTTATTCAACTCAGCAGTCACTTTGGCCGCATTTGTCCAATGATTTTTTGCCACATTGCGTTTCAATGCACGTCAGTCCCTGTCAGTAAGTTTGCAAATCTGTCCCAAATTGCTACAGTTGCCAGAGGTCTTGCCCTGTTTGTCGAATTGCATCAGTGTTCTTGATATGGTAGCTCTTGAAAAACCAAACAGTTCAGCAACCTTAGTGATCGAGGCTCCTGCCATGCGAGCTCCAACAATTTGCTCTTTTTCGAACTCGGAGAGGTCACGCATTTAGATTAAATTTTACTAAATTCTAAAAATAAATAAGACAAAGACAGTAAATTAGATAAATAAATGTATTTACAATAGATATAACCTGCAATTACAAAGTTTTAGTTAAAGTTCTTAATATAATAGGTCTTTGAAATATAGAAGTGGATTTTAGAACTGTTCCAAATATTTTGTCCAACCTCTGTATATATATCTTATATCACTTTTTTCATATTTGAGTAAAAACTCCATTTATTAAACAGTATAATTGTTTATTTTCATCTCCCATCCTGAATATTCTTACCAAAGAAAAAATATGCTATCTGGCAGGATATAAACCTGCGACCCTCTAAGCAAAGGCAGCTGGCATTAGATCTGATGTGCTTTAATTGACTTGGCCACAAAAAAGCTTTGCCAATCAAGCAAGGTTGAATTGTGTCTTTAAAGGAAACACTTCTAATCATAGACTCAAAATTCCATTATCTGTTCATTTTCATATCCAAATATGAAATGAAGGAATTTTCTAAAGTAATAGATTTTATATTTATTAATCTGACAGATATATATATATATATGAATAATAAAGACAAGAAAACCTTGTCATAAATGACATTTTGTCCTCCAATGGATTATATCCAGGCAAATGTAAGGATTTTATTTTGCAACAGGTATTTATAAACAAAATTAAAAACGTCATTAGTTTTTCAAAATTCTTAAATTTAAGAACGTTCATAAATATTCATTAGGGTAGCAGAAAAGTCTCGGCAAGCTATGGAGGATGATATTGTGCTCAAAACTCTTTGGTTCAAGTCACTTGAATCAACCAACACTTTTATCTACTGGGCCATGTGTCCTTGAGTTGTGAGTTCAGTACCTGGCTACAACAGAGGAGAACAAAAACTTGGGGAGTTGAGTTAAAGAGAGATGACTGACACTGAGCCACCTGGAAGAGGCATGGCACATGGAACTAGAACAATCTACCTTGGTGGACAAAATAAAACATTCAGTTTGAAATTTTAATTACCTGAAGAAGACTGGAGTGTACAACAGCTGAAACATCATGAGATATATATATATATATATATATATATATATATAACTCTGTTTTAAAATAATGTTTTGAACACAGAAATTTTACTCTTCATTCTTTTACATTTTTATATATATATATATATATGAAGAAATATAGTCATAAGGTGTACTATATTTATGCAATAAAGTGCTCAATATCAGGGATAGAGCATGTGTAAATACAAAAGTGAACATTGAAGTGTATACTTAGAGGCAACAGGCTGTTTCATGCAAGACACAATCGTCAGGCCATATAATTAGGAGATGATCCATTTCTGCTACTTTGGTTTCAACCTGGTCTCATTCAACTTTGGCCATTACCTTTTTTATCATATATATATATATATATATATATATATATATCCGTAGCCTAAAGACAAAGTAATATAATGATAATTTTGTACAGGAAAAAGATGTTTTCCAACATAATCTCTTTCTTTGTTAATGCACTTAATTCAGTGGTAATTATAAATTACATAAATTATTGAAGATATATATAAATATTCCCTTAAAAACATTATAAAGAAACATATAATTCCAGTCAGCAAAAACAAAAAAATTAACTTGTCAACACTAATAACTCACATGCAAATTCCAAATTACAGAGAACCAATATTATTTACAAATTCACATGTTACTTAAGGAACTGTGTTACTAATCAAAACATTATATATATATATATATATATATATAATAAACTAGCAGCATGGCCCGGCATTGCCCGTGCTTGATTCAAAAATCATACAACTCATACAGTAATTGCTATCACTTGACTTAAAATATTTTTGTCCTTCCTTGCCTTTAAAGGAGTGCCCTTTGCCGTGCTGATGTTGCTACATGCCTTACTTCTTGCCTATCTCACGCTGTGAATTTTTTCTAAGCTCTATACTAAACATTAAATCTGTTACAAAAAAAGAACTAACAAAATGAACACAAAACGATCAGCTTTAAAAAAGAACTCATAACTGGAAAAATCGAAAAGAAAAAAGAATGTTAACAACAAATACTTTTTTTACCCAACCCAGTTCTGAAAATCAGAATCAACGTTGAGTTTAAGCAAGCGAATGAGCCAATTGGAGTAAAATGCCATGCAGATTTAAATTTTTCCCACTTGTGACGAATGCACCTATCGATTTTTTTTTTGCATGCTAGTATGCCAGCTAACATTCGTGTGAGTCAGCTGTTGGCTCTCACATAGGCCAATAGAATCTTCTTGCCTATTCGTGGCAGGCAGCTATAGGCTCTCACTCTGGCCAGTACAAAATGACCACAAGCTACATGAAAACTGCTGTAGAAGCATGAAAAAATCGATTATTTTCACTATCGATGGGAGTTGGGAAATGCAAAGTTGGTCTTGGCCTTCCCGCTAACTTGGAGCATGTGCGTGTAAATTTTTATGCAAATCCGTCAAAA